CCTCTAATAAACCTCGTAATTAAGTGTAAAGGGAAAAAGGGGACTTCTGCGGTCAATGACCGAGACGCTCTCCTCGAAAAAAAAAGTCAAAATATCAATAAAACAAATCTCCTCCATTTGTTTAACGGTAATTCTATAGACGATAATATCAACAAGACGGGAATAAGAGATGTTTCTTACCTCCTCTTTGGTTGTACGTGACACGTGGTTACAGCAATAAATTGCCTCGTTCGTAGTCAAACGCGACGTTTGATATAACCAATATCTGGATTGTTGACCAGTCTACAGAAATTATTGTCAGCTGAATGTTAATTTATGGATGAGTCAAACCTATAGAAATTTATATTATAAAATCATATCGTCTAGACACCGATATCAATAAATTAAACAAACTTCTCTGTGTCAGTTGTCCGTACTAGCTAGATCCAGACATCAACACATGAACAGGTGTTTTTACCAACGACCCATATTACGGATCGGCAACTTAGAGATATTTTTTTGAATATCTATTTGTATACTCTCTCTCTGAGAAGTCTCTCTCTCGTCTCTTAATTTAACTTAGAGCAGTGTTTTTCAACCTTCTTGAATACGCGACCCCTTTACAAGTTAAAAAATTCTGGCGACCCCCCTAGGGCCATATTAAAACTATATCAGTGATTTTAAAAACTATGTATTTAATTTTCTCTCTGTTGAGACAAATTATTGTTGATTAAAGTGAAAATTTCAGAAGAATCGACAATAACTTAACACACATAAAGTATGAAACTTCCTTTAATTATAACATTAGGCACAGGAAGATGTTGACCTTTTTTTTTCTTTTTAGGATCAAATTTTCAGCTTCTACGTTTCTACTTTTTATTTCTTTTTGCAGATCAGCTCAACACTTTTTCCGCTATCATTTTCTGGGGAGGGCCGTAGTTCTCGCTGAAATTGTAGTTTTTTAATGTAGTGTAGGAACACTTTAATGTAGTGTAGGAACCTACAAACACTTGTCTTTTTCTTTTACCCGCGACCACCCGTGTAAGACTTCGCGACCCCCAAGGGGGGCGCGACCCACAGGTTGAAAAACACTGACTTAGAGAATAGAAATTAGATGTTACATAAGAAAGACGAATCATTGTCACGACGTAGAAGAGAATTTTTGTAGCTCTTCACTTTTGCCTTTGATATGTACAATTTTATAGTTGTTTATTAAACGTGTTATTCTTGTTCAACCTGTGTATTTATTTGGAAACCTGTCAACTTACCCATTAACTTCCCCACTCATTTCATTTTGCCCTCCAATAAAGCCATTCTCTGACAGAGCCGCCGGTAAGTGGGGATAACTAACCCCCTCGGTTCTCACAGTCACATTCAGTCAGAGTCTATAAATTATTAAAGTATAAATTAAGTTAAACTACACAACATCCTACCTAATTAAAAAAATATCAGTCAAAAAATCAGTATATAACATACTCAAATATTTCTGATCAATACAAATATAGGCCTACAGTGTGTTGTCAGTATTCGAAACATTGTCAACATATTTGTATTCTGTTATTTATTTTAAATTAATTTGCAAACAACGAATGTATAGATAATAAAATTTATTCACAAAGCTTTTGTTTGGAAGGAACAAAACCTTATTAAAAAGCGCAATCTCACTATTTTGGAAGGCGTTAGTGAGATTGCGGCTTTATTGGCGGTTTAAAGTCACATGATCAAAAAATGCCAATAACAAAGAGTTAGTTATATGGTCACTTTCTAAGTTGACTCTGCTAATAGCGCAGTCCTGGCGGCCGTCATATGAAACATCTACCGGTAAGTTGGACCAGTTTTTCGATTAATGATTATTTTAAAAGACACTTTCGATTTTTAAATATTAAATGATTAAAATAAGATGTTTGGTTAAACGGAAGTATTTATTTAGGCGCATTCGAAGAAAATGGTGCACAAATTTGCAATTTTTCATTGAAGAAAGAAAGAAACGATTATAAAACCATTCTCTGAAAGCAATTTTAACAAAAATCTCTGTAAGTGAATATGTCTGTATGTATATTAAAACATGAGAAAGGTAAAGAAAGATATTAAAGTGTAAGACATTCAGCGTATATAAATTATATGCACACAAAACTTTTAAAATTCTTTGATAACATTTTATTCTATATTTGTACTATATTGTTCAACTAATTATATATCTACTCTTAATATTTTAAGCAAAAAATATACTTTCTCTGAATTCTAAAACATAACTATCAAAACATACATTTGGTAGTGAACATACCAAAGTATTGGCGAGTTTTAATTATTTAAACATTGATTTCTTTTGATAAAATGGCAGGTACTTACTATAATTATAACTCACACGAAAAAAATTTAATAAGCGTAATGATATGCAGTGTTTAAAATGTTACATTTTTAATATAAATTTTGTGCTTTTAATTCTAAAGCTTGCGTGATTATTTTATAACTATTTAATAACGAAACAGTTTTAATATTTCTTTTAATAAAATTTAATATGACATAAGTACTTTTTGTCCTCTTTTACCACTGGTCATTTCATCTACAATATTTTAAATTTAGAAATCAGTTATAAATGAAGTGAATTAAATGTTACAAATTACACATCAAAAATATTTTTATGTATAATTTATAAAACTTCATTTATATGTGGATGATACATTCGAAAATCTACCGACGATAATAACAAACTATCTATGAAATCCATATTCATGCATGCATATAACGTGATAGAGTGAGAGAAAAGAAAAACATAAGTACTGTTACATGCTATAAGATCAATGCCATGGCAAAGAAGGTTGAGGCCAAGCGTTACATTCATTCATATCAGTGCAAGATTAATAATTGTAATGAAGATTAAAGTGAAAAATAGTTCAAGATGCTTTAAAAATTGTGCGATCGCTTGAATTTTTTTTTGTTATTAATAAATACGTAAGCAGATAGGTTTTCAGATATAATAATTGATAACAATAATAAAGATACTGTTAATTGAATAAAATTGTATTTATTTGCAAAGCATGATTAGACAAGAAAAATTACACGTTTAATTACACAGCTATCCCGATAAGTAATAAAGCAGAATATACTTGCATAACGAGGAAACTCTGCAGTAAAAACCGATTTACAGGTTTGATGAATTTCTTGGAGTCAAAATATCAATAGATGATGGAATTAAATAGAGTTAAAAAAGCCAAACAAATAATTTGAAACTCGTATTTTATTTCTCATTAATATGCAGCTACTATTTTTCTTCAAATATTAACCATTTGATAAGATTGTGTTGTATATAAATTTAGTAACTAAATATGTATTTTACGGTAATAGCTACATAGCAGAATTATCTATTTTTCTCATAATTTTTTATGTTCTGTTCCGCTTACAAACTAATTTGTGTAATATTAAAATATAATTTGTTGAGAGATCGAATTAAGTTGTTTTTTATACATATTTATTGTATTCGTGAAATAGTAAAGTTTGTACATATACATTCACATTAAAATCGTGCCAGATGCATGCAGTGAAGCATGTGCTTCTCTAATTGACATAACGCTAGCATTTTTGTCATATTTTTTAAATGTAAACAAATTATTCATATTACTACTTAATAGAATTAATAAGTAAATAAAATCCACAATTTTACGATTGATATATTACAGTCGAAGTTAAAAGAAAAATATTATTCTGATAGTTCTGCTAAGAAAAATATATTTAATATTGTTGTAATCCCAATAGGAATGAAAATATATTATGTTATCTGGTTTGTTTTCTGAAGAATGGATGAATAATATACAAAGACTATAATTGATTACTTTCTCGGTTGTTATACATAACAGAAGGAAAGTATGGAGATAGGGCAAAAATTACTACCCAACAATTNACCACAGTAGGCTGTCCAAGTTGCATAAAATTGTTAGTTACAATAGTGATTCATCTGTTGCTGCTTTGTTTCCTAGATAAAATCAGCAGACTTGATGGAGCACAAAATTTTTAATTATTCAGTACAACTGTCAAGTTTCTTTTGATATGGATTTCAGTTTCAGAAATAATTGCCTCACGTGGTGCTAAAAATCCTTTCATTTTTTCATTTTGATAAAGTAATCTTCTCGTTGTTGTTGTTGCCACGATTAATTATTAATTATCCTTATTTAAATCGTAGATCAATAAAAAATTTTTTATGTTTTACATTTGTGATCCAAACATGGGAACTAGAGTCAATCTTGTGTGTATTATACGGTATATGTCGTTGCCGTATAATACTAATTTTGCAGTAATAACCGTATAACCGTATAATATTAGTTTTACATTAATTCTATCGGTTTTGAATGAACGACGCTGTTTATTGCAGGTTAATTTTAAGACAGCATGATTAAATTGTGTAAACTAATATTACAGTTATTGTATTTTAACTTCAATATATTGTGATCAATTTAAAAACGAAAATATTTTAAATAAACAAGGTATCTTTCACGTTTAATCTTTGTACGTTTATATTTTTTCTAAGCCTTTTTAATTATTTTTTTTTAGAATTATTAGTGAAACTTTCGTGAAACTTTTTCTATCCAACTACTTCAATTTTCATGTATTAAAAAGATTACAAATATAGAGTATTTGGGATATTTAATTTCGATTTAAGATACTTTTAATATATTGCAAAAGATTAATTTTTTTATTTAGCTTTTGAGCAATACATTCCGACATAATTACATTTAATTTAATTTAACTATTTAAAAGGTATGCATAGTATAATTATAATGATTAAAAATATATATACTTTACTACAATCTCGAACTATAAACCAAATTATTAAATTTTAGAATTAAATTATATAATTTAATCGTTATAAGAAAGATATTATTAATTAATTAAATGTGTGAAGAATAAAGCATTTATTCTCTTCATGCAAATATTTAACATTTACATTCTTAATTATTTTATTAGAATTTCATATGTAATTAATTTATATTATTTTTTTAGATAGGCAGTAATAAAAAATAGGCTAATTCATAATACAAAACTGTTTATTTAAATTTTTCTAAATTAACACACGCTAATTTTAGATTTTGAAAGAGATTGTCAAATTTTCGTAGAATTAATTACACATATTCAATTTTAAAAAATTCATGGCTCAACATTGGGTAAAATAATCAGCGACGAACAATCACAGATGACTACGTTAATGCTTTTTCTAGTCAAGTTTGTCTCTGACACATTGAACTACCACAGCTAAATCTACAGTCTGAAAATATAAAAAATGCAATTAAGTAAATTAAATTAAAATAAAATTTTGTAATTGTTTTTATTTTCAACTTACGGGTTCACCCAAGTCAGCTACGTTCAAATTATTCAAACAGTCCTCATGCGGTGATACCATTTCTATAATCTACAATATAGATATTATATTTATTATATTTTTGATAATTGTAAACGCTGATATATCAATTTATTTGTCTAATTATATTTACCTCATTTATTGTTTTTCCACACATTCTATTCATGACGTCAACAAAACTATCTTCATTAAAACATTGGGCCATACCTTTATACTGACAAATTATATTTGAATATTAATATTTGTAAGCTATAACTTAAAATTTTATTTAGTTACACTAAAAATATGCTTACTGTATTTCTTTCGTCGGATGGCAAATTATCCTCTATACAATTCCAAGTAATTCTTCTAATCCGTTCGGGAAGTCCTGAAAAATAGAAGTTTAGTGTACTTTACTTTTCTATATGCAAGCTGTGAGAATGTTTTATTCTCTCCAAAACGAACATAATTTAGAGTAGAGTATTCTCCTATAATTTACAATTTAAGGGTTTTCTGCTGGTAAAAATATTAACTGCAATATAAACTTATCTAACTTAAAACAACATTTTTGTGCATATACTAATTTATAAAATATCCAAACAATAAACTTATTCTTAAAACAATTATCGCATATAGAAAATATTGGCTACGTGTTCCATTATAGCTGATTGTGTGGGATAGAATGGAACATTGTACAAATAATGGTAGGGACTATATGGAACAACTAAAAGCATCAAAAATTAAGTGAAATTTTTTATTAAAATTATTATTATTCAGTGAAGTTATGAAAATTCCCTTTAATCATCCGATTTTCGTATAAGGACTTCAGCATCAAATTTATAAGTAAGAATATTAGACTCGTTTGCGACTGTCAAGACATTTAGTTTTGTTTAATTCCGTTTAGTGGCGCCTGATTCTATACAATGTATGGGTCTAAATGCATGTATCAATTGTTTTTAATGGTGTGACGTTTCTTAAGACTCTTTTCATAACGCCCAGTTTGCAGAAATCTTATGTGTTAATGAAAATGCCTGCCTCGTTATAATAACAAACACGATCTTTACGAAACTTCGGTAACGGAAGGTTCAAAGGATAGAAAATTATAAGTCATAACGAAGCTAATGCGTTAATTGAAACGTTACAAAAGTGGCCAAATTTAAAACGTTTGCATCGCAATAAAAACCATAACAATTGTTATGGTTTCTATTGCGGGTAAAAACAATTGTTACGAGTCCTAGAAGAAAAGTAAATAAAACAGTTTTTAAATAAATGAAAGAGAATTGTCTGCGAAATTATTTCACCTGTTGAGTTTCTAAAACTTATCATATTTTACTTTTTCTGAAGATGTTTGCTGACAGTGTTCCATTTCGTCCCGTGCTGCGTATCGTCCCATTCTACCTTATATTTAAAATTTGAGGATTAAATAGGAAATCTCTAATACTCACTACAATAGTCATCCAAACTTCTCTTCTTTCTGAAGCCATTGATGCAACCTAAATTGCATGCGATCACTCCTAAAACAAGCAAAATGCACACCTTCATTTTTCACTTCTTGCAAATGAAGAAATAATTTTTTAATCAACTGATTCTCGGTTATTTATATTCTATCCAGCAAATGCTTACAGGAAAAGCAATTAACTTATCTTTTTTATAATAAAGGAAACGTTATAAACGCCGTTTCCTTTTCACTCTTAAAAAAATTGCGCAAATTCGNAACGTTTTAAACAATCTAATCGAGACGGGTTGATAATAATAATACTGTAAAAACAATCAACGCAGAGCCGAAACGGTTAGAAGTTGAAAGTTGAAATTTGTTACACAGTTAGGGTACGTCACGAGAACGCACACTAAAAAGGAATTTTACGAAATTCTCCCCTAGGGAGAGAGGGACAGAATTAAGGTTTCGACAATGGAAGTATCAACAATGAAAGTATCAACAATGGAAGTGTTAAGAATGGAAGTGTCAGCAATGGAAGTGTTAACAGTGGAAGTGTTAAGAGAAAGGGACGTGCAAGTTTTACCGACGCAGATGCAGTTTTTTTTTTTTGTTTCTGCGAGAAATCGAACATTTTTTAACCCATCTAAAAATTTTCTAATTAGTCTGGAAACAGGAGGACTTAATTCTTGCATTCGTTGAAAACGAGTAAGATTGACTATAACTTAATAATCTTAATCTTCGCTATCGTTACTTTTTGCCCGAGCAACGCCGGACCTATCTGCTATTATAAGAATATATTTATATTCTTGAATAGCCTCAAAATTATAAAAGAACATGCATATATTGTTATCGAAGATATATATAACAACAACAATAACTATTGTTTTGTTAAATAATAACTATTTCTAGCTACAAGTTATTCATAAGCAGCATTACGTAAATACAGTAGAACTTCGATTATTCAGACCTCTATCATCCGGATTTTCGATTATCCACATTGTTCAAAATAAACAAAAATTTTACGAATTTGCTGATTTGCACTTGGTGAATTACAATACTGTTTATGTACGTGATGGAATGCATATCTTTTTTTATTTTAACAACGTCTCACCCAGCACAGTGGTCGTAAACTCTTAAATATATTTTGCGTCGTAATAAAAATATAATTTGACATACGTATTTATAAATAATTTATATTCAAATTACATCATTTCTATGACCAAGGGCGGCGTATGGGCAACGCGGGCCACCGCCTATGCCTCGCGGTCCGAAGGGCCTCGCGCCTCGAAGGTTTATGCATTACTTAAAAGCCGCGAACGGGACGAAAAAATTTTACTCGTCATAAAACGATAAATAGTTGTCAAATTTTTATTCACAAAAATGCAGTTTCAACTGCTTTATGTTTTATAAAATCGGTCTTCTTGCGCCATCAGAGGGCCTTTTAAACAATAGGTAGTCTGTTAGCGCGAGTCACTAGTAGTCCAAATTCAATACGAACGTTTGTTTCTTGAAAATTTAGTCACGATTTAAATACAGTACTGTGTTTATTTTTAATATTACCGATATGTCATCGAAAAGAAAATGTGCTGTTTCTGTTTAAAAAACTGCAATGTAGCACAGTAATCAACACATGGCATAACTCATTCATTTATTTCAGCTTTTTGTTGAGACGCGTTTCTACACATGTTTCGGGCTCTGTTTTTGCCCCTCCCCTCCTCAGTTAACTAAAACATATAAAAACTAATTATATACATATTATAACCCGACATATGAATTAAAAAACGACAAAAATAAAAGTATATTTCGTTGGTATATACAAGTAAGACATAACATACCATTTTCTAAGTAAATTCCTTCTCTGGATGTATTTTTTCCTTTGAACGGGAATCATACTCTATATACTTGATTATTTCAGATACTAGGTTGAAGATTTAATCTTACTTCTTCATGCTTCAGACACAGATTGTCCTATTTAAACTCTACTATACTTTGAAGACTATAAAAACAACACAATTAGTGTACTTAACATGTAGGTATTAACAATATACAGGATTTTTTCTTACGTACTTAGTCACAGTAGAGTTCTTGAGGTGTCACAAAGGATTACAATGGACATATGGCAGAGTTCTTCTTTTTCCGTAT